GGGGGGGGGGGGGCAAAACCTGGTGTTTCGCTTTGAGTGTCTGAGAACAGGGCACAGGAGAGGAATAAACAGAAGAACGGAGAAAAATGCGTGAGGAGGAGCTTCGCACTTTGTACTCCTCACCTTCCGTTGTTGTTGCACTCATTGAAACGGCTCAGGGTAAGGAGCAGTGGCGGTGCCTTTTGTGAACACGGTGATGAACCTTCTGGTTCCAGTCATACAGCGAATTGGCCGACCAGCCGTCAGCTTGTTGCTGTAATGTGGCTGCAACTGTGGGTTATCGCGCCGACCCCGTCACACTTTTTCTTTGTTTGCTGTTGGCACGATGGAATGACCGTGAATCAGGCAGATGTCACGTGGCCGGGAACCAGTCGCCTATCCTTGTCCTCAGCCGCTCCAGACAAATGTCGGGAAAACAAAAGTCCTTTAAATTCAGTGATCAGTTATTTGCATTTATGGGTTTCGGATGATTCTCAGAATAAACAGCGATTATTTTCCTAAACAGCGTTAACCAATTGATCTTTGTCATGGAGATGGGTTGTGTTCTCTTTGCGGTACGGACTGGATGTCTAAACATTTGGATGAGCTCGATCCTTGAAGGCAGCTTTTAGGTTATGTAGCCACCAGTATGTCTTTCAGGCTGTTATAATCTGTTCACAGCCCATTTGCATACAAATACTTTTAACAAATCGGTCAACCCCAATATGGAGGCTATACGTTCGTCCATAATGTCTGTAACATCTTACATTATTATGCAACGTCAGAACCTAGAAGAATACAATCCAGATATCAGTCAGGGGTTTGATAAGGATGCATTTCTTATGTGTTCCAGAGTCATGAGAAAGGCAAGCACCTACTAGAGCAAGTGTGTCGGCAGCTGAATCTCATCGAGAAAGACTATTTTGGCTTGCGCTATGTTGATCACACAAGACAAAGGGTATGCATATGGAAGTTGATCTATAGCTGTGAGAGAATAGTCGATTGAGGAAGTTGGAGAAGAAATTGCTGGAACGTGTGTTTCATTCTGAGAGCAATGAATGACAGTGGAACAAAATATATGTCTTCAAATCTCACATTTTGTTCTCCTAATGAAGTTAAGAAGAATGGGGTTAGTGTAGCATGCAAGGGGGGAGCATTGCAAAATTTTGTTGGGAAACATCATGAGAAGAGCGCTAGGAGTAGATGGAAGGACACTGTTAAAATGTATGTTAAAGAAATAGTGTGTGTGTGAAGGTGTGGACTGTGTTCATCTGTCTGGTATATCCAATAGTGGGTTTCTATTCACATAATATTGAATCTTTGGGTTTCATAAAATTCAGGTAATTTCTTTGGGTAGCTCAGCAGCTCTTAGTTTATCAACAAGGACTCTTGTTCATGGCACTTGTGTTATCATCATACATGTCGCTCGTTACAGAGAGGTACCTGCCATACATGATTCTTACTCCTTGTGTTTCAGCACTGGCTGGATCCAGCAAAGGCAGTCCTCAAACAAGTTAAAGGTAAGCAACTGACTCTGGTATATCTTCGTGCTTCCTACCAATGTACTCTGCTGATTGTATGTCTGGAAAATGCCGTGTTGTATACCAGCTGGGATTTGTGGAAAGATAATGAATGATCGGTGCCATTAAATTCATGTTGAGGTTTTTATGGCGGTGAGTCTGAAGATAGCTGTGTTTGTGTAACGACTGTCTCGCCACTCACTGACACTCATATTGTGGCACATGAGTAATGCAGATTGCTGAGGAATCAACTGATTGTCTTGTATATTTGTAGACATGGAACCCATCCTGTTCAGTTTCCGGGTCAAGTTCTACCCGCCCGACCCTTTCCGGCTCAAGGAGGAGATCACCCGCTACCAGATCTACCTGCAGCTGAAGCGAGACCTACTGCACGGGCGGTTGTACTGTACCCCGGCTGAGGCGTCGCTCCTGGCAGCTTATATTGTCCAGTGTAAGTGCTCTTGACGACTGGAGCGTAGCATGAAAACATAAGAAGTTAATAGGATTTGAGGTTTCTGCGGTGGTGAGTCTGAAGTTGGCTGTCTTCTGGGTTGTAGCGCCATGTAGTCTGGTAGAAGTTTACCAACTTTTCAGAGCTCCTTATGGTAGAGGCAGCAAAGACCTCTGAAACACTGATAAACTTCTACCAGACTAAATGATGCTACAACCCAGAAGACAGTCAACTTCAGAAGTGAAGTTTTATTGTGTGTCCTGAATAAACTCAGTACCCTAATGTGTTCACATGTGTAGTAATTTAAGCTTCTAGCGTATTTTGAAGGTGAAATCAAAAACTGAATGCAGCCGTAACAGATAGTTCAGTCGCTGGCTGGCGTGACATATTTCACCCATATAAAAATAATTTATTGAACGCGACAGTATAATTGCATCAGCGAATAAGTTGAGGTATGTGCATTAATGTCATAATTTCAAAACCATTATTTCTGTAAGAGTTTTGGTGTTATTGATTCAGTATTTTGTTGGTAAACCTAGAGTGAAATGGGATACTGCATTGCAGCTGAACTGGGGGACTATGACCCTGAGGAACATGAGGGCAACTATGTGTCAGAGTTAAATCTCCTCTTGAAGCAGACACCGGAGATTGAGGAGAAGATTATGGAGATTCATCAGACACAGCTCAAGGGGCAGACTCCTGCACAAGTTGAGAACAACTTCCTGCGCAAGGCCTGCCAACTGGACACATATGGGGTTGATCCGCACCCTGTGAAGGTATCAAGGTTGCTTTCGCAATATGCAAGAAAGTGGGTTCAGGGCACATGTCTCGTCACCATTAAGGGGTCTTCGGTATCGATAATATGCCTTTATTTTTAATTCATAAATGTAGCTTGCTTCGTTTTGGGCAACTGATCATGCCTTGAATTGCTTGTTGCAGGATCACCGGGGAAACCAGCTGTACCTGGGCATCAACCACTGTGGCATCTTAACTTTTCAGGGCTCGCGCAAGACTCACCACTTTCGCTGGGTCGAGGTGCAGAAGATAAACTATGAGGGCAAGATGTTTATCGTGCACGTCACGTACAATGAGGTCAGAGCATTTTAGGATTTCACATAAGGAGGAGCTTTGTTATTTGTACATGTCACTTCGTGGTGTGATGTGCCGGATGGTAGAGACAGAATTTTGGTCAGAAAGTGTCTTGGAATACCAACGTAGACATGGAAGGATAGCACTTACTATTAATCATTGTCCAGACTTTTCCCATCATCCTTGTTTAAAAGATGGAGCGTAGCTCAGCGTGACTGACCCACCTGAGTAGGTACCTCTCGCCTGAAGACGGAAACAGAGCCAGTTTCCGAAGCGTCGTGGTTTCTTATTTTGAACAAGGATGATGGAAAAAGTCTGGACAATGAATAATTTTAAGTGTAATCCACCATCGTCGGAACATTTTAAAACTGAATGGAAGGGTGACATAAGACATGGTTGAGCAGACAGCCCTGTCAGGCACTGAACCCAGGCTGTTCAGTCCGCAGTCACCCTCTTTGCTGTTGTTTGGCGGACTGACAGAGGGAAGAAGGAAGCTGCAAAATGAGGAAGTCTGCAGTTAACGTTCTTGCAATGGTTACAGTGGACTGAACGCGTGTAGATGCTGTTGCACTGTTTTGTGTAGTAGAAGTTTACTGGTGCTGCCCAGGTGATGGAGGCTGAGAGCACCACTGAAACGTCAGTAAACTTTACCAGACTGCATGGTGCAAGTACCTGTAAGACGGTCATCTTCGTGCCTTCCACCATCAGAATCTCGTATCTTACTTAGACTTAGCAATAAATTCACTCTGAGTTTTAATTGGAAAACCTCTTAGATTGTGATTGTTTTTGAAGACTGACACAATTCAAATAATGAGATATGAATGTGTTTTTTTCAGTTAAGCCAGTTTTTGTTAAAAATAATTTTATGTGATAAAAATGCAGAGAAAATATTATAATATAAAATATTATAAAAGAAAATGATTTGGAGCTTCAAGGGTATATCTACTTGTCGGGGGGGGGCTGTACACACGTGCCAATCCTTAGGGGGCCTCTTGTATCTTCTTGCAGCCCAAATTTAACTTTAAATTTCATTAATTTTGTCAACATATCATTTCATTCTTAGTCATAAATCTCAAAAATAAAGAAGTAAAAGTGTTTCAATAAGTTAAAATATAGCAAGTTCAGTAAGGAGGTGACTTAAAGGTTATCCAAGGTTGTCCCATTCAAATTACTGATAACACACGTGTGTGTTTAATGGGATCCAGATGCATCAGCTGTGTTTGGATACACAACTACTCCAATGTGCAGCTTTCTTTATGTAGGATAATGTTAAGAATAGATCTTACAGGTAATAGATTGTGATGCTGTTGGCTCGGAATTGCGGTCTATTGGTGGGTTCTGCTTACAGAAAATTAGTTAATTTTAACTGTGACTGGTAGTGTTATGTCTCGAGACACAGCATTTGAGGCAACTTCCTTCTTGTGGATTATTTTACAGTTTTTCTGAGTCTGCAGGCAGACGCTGGGATAGTACAGTCAAATTGGCCATGACCACCTCCTTCCAGATTCTTATCTACCCTGATCATCTTCACGTCTCATTCTGATGCTATACAAGTTATGTACTTGAAACACTGTTAATCATTTCTTGTGGATTGTAAAATTAAGAGTTCAGATGCAGGGCTTATACTGTGTGCTTTTATTGCCCTGATTTGTCTGTTCTGCTGCGAACTCAGGACCCTAGGATAAAGGTAAGTTTCTCTTCATGAATGGTTTCCACTTCTGTACATTAATTCTGAGTTTTCATACGTTTACTTTGTAGCCTTTTTTCCGTGTCTTCGTGTCGTCTCGTACGTTTTTCTATGTCTGTTGAAACGAGTTGGAGCATTTACGTGAAACTTGGTATGAACGTCATGTCACTAGAAGTCACCTTACCTTTGTGCTGTTTGAGGGAGCTAGATGACATTTTCCATTTCACTTCAGCACTTTGTGGGTTGTGAATGTCTGTCTGTCTCAGTGTGTGACGCTATCAATAACAGCCTGCGATGCTTGCTTTCAGATACTTCAGTCTATATGGTGAGACTAGCAGCAACTGTACATTACTTACATATTTTAAATAGTCCAGATTCAAACTACCTTAAATTTCTCAGATGGAAGTTCAGAGTTCATTATCTTCAACACAGTCATGTTTATAACTGTAACATAAACAAGTTTTTGAACGTAACTTATTGATATGTTTATGATCTGTCTTATATACACTGGTAGTTTCTCATTGCCGAGCCAAAAAATTTTCTTTAGTTATCATAAAACTGACAAGTCATTTTACAAAAGAAATTGGTTTGCATAATATTGGATGGTCGAATGTGTACACCTTTTTGGGACACCTTGTGTTGCTTATGAGTTGGGTTAAAAGTTTCTAAGTGCAGATACATACATAAAGAAAGAGACAAAGAGAGATGGTGATATGTAAACCCTGTGAGATTTGAAGATCTCACAGCGATGAAGATATTGATTATGGCCTACTGGTTTGTGATAACATTTAGTCTTGTATGCATGAAGTGTATTTTATTCTTGAAGATGGAGGAAATACTTTCCTCTGAAACAGTGGTAACCACCTGCACAACCCAGCCAGCCACAGTCAACATATCATATATGAACCCTGTTTTTCTACAGAAAGTAAGAAAAGTATTTAAAGCAGATCATGGATTAGGGTAAGTTCTTCATGCACTATGTTCCATTGTGACAGCTCATTGTATGTCTGTTGCAGAAGAAGCGCACCGTGGGGTTCAAGTGTCCTACTGGTGCGGCGTGTCGGCATGTTTGGCGTTGTGCCATTGAGCAGATGTTGTTCTTTACGTAAGTTTGTACTATGCAAATTCATTACTGCCTTCACTGTTGGGTTTTTGGACCTTCTCCGTCATCTGACGTTATAAAACGTGTCACTTTTGAGGACTGGATCTGTCGTTTTCTTCAGGTGTAGTGAAGGGGGTACCTTCTCTCTGGGGTCTGTTAGAATGAGCTAACCACAATCACTTGGCCCCACATAGTAGGTGCCCCCTTCACTACTACTGAAGATGAGGACAGATTCAGTCCTTGAGATGTAGCATGTTTTGTAATGTCAGACGATGGACAAGGTCCTGAAACCCAACAATCCAGATTGTATTATGTCATCATCAGAATAGATTTATTACTACATTAATATTCTATAAACTGTAATTTTGGTGGGGGTAAATCTCTTACAAAGTGGGAGCTTCAAAGACAGAAGGGGTGATGAAAGGGTAACATTAATGTGAAACCTTGGGGTTATCAATTGTGAGGTGGATAGAAATTACTCAGAATTCTATCTAATGGCATGTGTTGGTGGTGTTGGAATCGTGGGTTCTGCTGTCAGAGAGTTATTTAAACAGCCAAGAACTGTGTATTAATTACTATTACTAACAAAGTCATCGCATTCACTGCAGGTTACCATCGAGTTCAGAGGCTCCGTCAGTTGTAACTGGGGGCAGTTTCTTCTCATGGGGCTCGAAGTTTCGATACTCGGGTCGTGTTGAGCGTGAGATCTTGGAAGATGTCGGTCCGCTTCGGAGGGAAGAGCCCGCTATAAACCGCAGCTTCCGGACCGCGAGTCTCCGGCGCAAGGCTTCGTCTGTACCGGCCACCCCCTCTACCCCCATCGGTTCCGAACTGGGTGAGATTAGTAAGGGAATGTTTTGTTTTCTGTCATGCTGCATGTTGGGGTGTGAAGGTGTTCTGTGGATTTGTAACACTGTAGCTGGTGCTGACAGGAACACGTGTATGTAACGTGAGGATGGAGATGATGGGCTTCATAAATTATGTTTTTTAGCGTGCAGTATTAGTGTTATACCAAGGAGGATGACATGTAGTGGAGCAATAAGACTCAGTGTGAAGTCATTTCTTTAGAATTGCTGAGAAAATGCAGCATACATGAGTCTGATTTGGAAAATATTCTCACTGCAACAGTGAGTCGTCTATGGACCACTGTTGATCCACAGATTCTGGTAAGCATTATATATTCTTACCATATGTGGAAGAATCATTACCTAACAGCTAGTGACTTTGTATCATGTTTAGTTTTCTTTTAGTGGCTAAATAGTACGCGTTTGGTGTTAACACTTCCCTTCATTTCTTCGTTTTGTGGTGTTCAGTGGTGCGATTAATCAAGTGAGTCGGAAGAAGACATTAAATTTTAGGGTTGATACCTGCAGGACTTTTGTAGACTGTTGTACAAAAGTCACTCCTGTGCCATTCTGCAATGATAATATATGCTGCAGGGTATGGGAGCTTGCCTCGTGCGAACCACTCGGCACCGCTCTCAGACTCACGGTTAGATGGCGGTCTGCTGGTGGAGGCACCGCTGTCATCACCGTACTGCTCTGACAACACACTGCCGCTCCTTGAGACGGTCAGTGAGGACCAGGAGATGTGCAGCAAGCATCGTACTCCTGTCGCCGCCAACCAAGGTACTCGCTCACTTCACGGTTTGGAGACACTAGGAGGCTGCCCCGTGTCTGTTCTCATGCCATCAGTCTTTCTATTAGTACACTGCACTGTATACCTTTGTCACTCTCCTCTCTACAAATCTGTGTTATTGAGGTTTTGTTGGAGTTCTCCCATTCACTCTACTATTCTGCGACTTTGTACAATATTTTTAGTAACAGTTACAAAACACTAAGATTGTAGTATAAAACATTAATTTTCCTTTCATTATCTGTGGTGGTAAAGCTGGGTATCAAACAAAAATGTGTTCAGAATGGTGGGAAACCTCTTGAAGAACTGAGGACTAGATTGGAGGTCAATATTACAGTGAATTTTGGGGAAATACGTACATTGGCTGGAACTGGTGTACGACGGTGCCTGGACAGAATTTGGTATTAGCAGCGTTGAACCTTTGGGATTCATTACCAAGTGATTGTTATTTCAGTGGTTGCGTGGATGTCTCAGTTGACTATGGAAATCTGAAAATGGAGCTGGTGCTCACTTGTTTATGTTACGATGTAGTGAGCGTAAATGCGTTTTTCAATATGGAGGATAGTTTTGAAGAGGAGGTCCACTGAATTAACTGGCAAATATTGTGCTTTGTCATCATTGTTGTTGCTGCTGATGGGACCGTTCATTATCCGTACACCAGGAGTAAAATGATACTGACAGGGATAAACTGAAGGACTCTGAGAAATAGCTGCCCCAGTGCCACTTTGATCGCCACAAATCCCATGTGGACTGACGTGGGCATGAGCCCGGGCCTCCATGGTGAGAAGCCAGCAACTAACAGCCTTAGCTTCAGCCTGGCTAGTAGTGTACATAACGGCCAGTGAGACTGTGGTGGATACGCGATCGGGTTTCACTGTTGCGAAGTTCTTCACATTGCCTGCAAGTCAGAAATTATTTCTTTCCGTTAAGTATTGACCATGTTAAGAAAACGTTTAAAATGACGGTTGTGGTTGTGTTTCATATTAGGCACAAGCATTTTGTAGGATGAGTCGTTGAGAAAGTTGATTCTGCTTATGTTTCGCATAGTGTAGGGGTTATATTAGACCGACGTGAACTCAAATTATATTTGATTGAAGACTTTCAAAAATAGCATATCAGAACCAAATTTCTTCAAAATCAGTTGTCATTTTAGGGCTACAGCTTTGTGCAGGTTTCCCCTGTATCCATTCACTTGGGTGTAGAACACAGAACAGGTGTTCGGACAAGGGATTGCTGTTCATATTGTCCCCTTCGTCCCAGTTAATGTTGTCTGAATTATATGTAAAGACGGGAGGCACGTGTTTTGTTACCATGAACAGCACAGAATCAATCTCAAGTCAACTGAATCTGTGCTGTTCATTGTGGTCAAGCACTGGCTGAATCCACTACCTTTTGTCCTGTGTTCAAAATAAGCACAGTCTCTAAATTTGTCGTCACTGGTATGCACTTTCGGACACGGGCGGCTGGTCTGGCGTCTCATTTGATCTGTCTGTGTCTGTCGTAGTTGTGTTGCCCAGTCCCATTATTGTGTTTCAGTTTTGCGTTGTTTTTATTTGGATTCTGTTTACCCTAGCAGGAGAAGTGATTGAAGACTTTCTAAGACATGAACGTGGTGAACTTGATGTAACTACAACTGCCAGCGAACCAATATCTCAGACCGAGACCGTTCTGACACACCACTTGGTGAACGGTGGAGGTAAGACAGTCTCCCACATTTAATTTTGTTGTTGCCAGGATGGATTTGATGTGGACTCGGTTTGGAAGTCTGCAACATCCTGGCGTTTGTTTATCTGGGAGGAGGGAGGGATTCGTACCTGTTGTTTTGTATGGGTGTGAAACTTGGTGTTACTCTGAGGGAAGAACATAAGATTCTAGGTGTTTGGGAAGAAAGTTCTGAGGAGAATACATATTTGGACTTAAAAGGAATGATGTAATATTGACAGAATTCAGTATTTAGAGTTACACAATTTTTACCATTCACCTGACATTAGAGTGATCTAATCAAGAAAGAAAAGATAAGTAAAACATGTAGTATGTGACAAAAAGGTAAGAAGTGTGTAGATTGTTGGGGGAAAAATCTGAAGGGAATTCTACCATTCCTTGCTAGGAAGATGAATGTCAGAGAGTTAGGAACTTTGACCTGGCAGGAAAGCTGATTTAAGTATTTTACGTAATTTGTAATCCGTGACTACAAATGCCCCATTCTCCTTACAAATATGATCATGCTCCATAAATACTTTGTACCCTTAGTTCTCTTTCAGTAACTAAAGTATGCCCCTTCTCTGTTTGTGTCTGGAAACTTCATGTGTGTGTAAATGTATGTTTTCTTTCTTTAGTTCTATGTGATGTCACGCTATGCACATAATCTTTACTGCGCTAAAAGCCACAGTATCTGTGTTTGTTTCATACTTGCATGTATGTGCCTCTGCATATACTGCGCTAAAAGCCACAGTATCTGTGCTTGTTTCATACTTGCATGTATGTTCCTCTGTATTTGGTCACCAACATGTCAACATGTTCATCCTGTAGTAACTTGTGATGTATTTATATTTGAAGGTGACTGAAGTTGGGCCAAATTCCAATAATAACAGAGAAAATGAAGCTGAGAAATTTTTTGAACGTTGTCTGACTTCAAGTCCTGGTAGTTTACAGTTTTGAATATAACTTCTGACCTGCTAAAGAACTGGGCCTTGGAAGGTTTGTCCCGTTGGGTGATTCATTACACTTCAGTTGTGTTGGACTTGATGCATAGTTTATTTAATATAGGTGTTTCAAGAGTTGGCCCTATTCTTATTAGGTGTTTGGGTTCTTAATGGTTAGTGTAAGTGCTCAGTAATCGAACGGTTCTGAGTTTTAACCTGAGTGGTGCCACTCATCTTCAAAATAAAATTTTCATTGAATATCTGCCTTCAGACTGGAGAAGAGCCATCTCTTGAAATGTTGTGAGTAAATGTATTTGGTACAGTGGACAATGTCCAAAATAATTGTGTTGTATCACCATGAACTGTTCTGCACATATCATCGGATAATTTCAGTGAATGATATGTAAAAAATAAAGTGGTATGAAAGATCTTCTATCACTTCTATTTTATGTACCAAACTAATATTATTTTGCATGCATGCTGTCAGTTTTATTTACAAAACATTTGTTCATTTAGCAAAGAAATACAGCATAGAAGGGCTTTGAATCATTGTTCCAGATTGAGTTTCACATCAGCTATTTCAGGATGACTTCCTCACCAACATTCACATATACATAAATGTCGACTGCCAAATGTTCTAGGTGGCAAAGAAACGGAGGGTGTCCATTCCCACCACACCTTTGATGACTACTACTTCCGAGACTCGTTTGAGCAGTCTTCTTCTGAGTCGCAGCTGGTCGAGGCCTCTGGTGGCTTCGGAGCAAAGCCAAGCAGCCAGCCACTACCGAGACCGAGTCCCAGCTTAAAGCCTGCACCACTGCCAGCACCACCGGCACCAGCCCCAGTGACCACCGCTACTGCTCCGCGTCGGTTCAATCTTCTGCAGGTGTTTGTGCCGTCATTCCTGTGCGTAGCGCTCTCTCTGGCTCTTGCCACAATGCTAGTGCTGGAGTCAGACTGCGAGATTCTTGGCACGGTGCGCCGGTGGCCTGAGATGGTGGTGCTACGACGTGACTACTATGAACCGGCAAAGGAGTTTCTACGTCAGAAACTGGCCAGGCTCCTGTCTTAAATGTTCACCACGTGCGTCATCTGTTGTTGAAACGTGTGCCACTTTGTGCACTGACACACAAGTCATTATTTCCTCTTCAAATTTCTGTCAGGGTGGGTCATCCTATAATGGATGCTTCTCCTTTGTCCTCCAATTAACACTTCCCTGTCATCTCTGTTGCACACTATTGCCCTATTCTATTTTATGTGTCCTCACTCACTTTGTCTCTGCACCTTGTCCTGGTCTCTCAGATATCAGTTTATTTTGCATGTTCATTTCTAATCTTGCAAAGGAGTCCTGTTGTTATGTACATGTGTGTGCCTCTTTATGTGACCACTTGAAGCAAAACTTAAAGGGACAAAATATTGTAAGTGATCATCAGAGAATCATTAGGTTCTAATGTCAACTATTCTAAGGTAGCATCAGGTTTTGTCAGTGCTCAAAGAATCCGCGCTGTATTCAGTGGATTTGCCAAAGTTGTCACTGATGAAATGAGATCACATGTTTTGTCACCCACACCATGACTAACGCATGTGCTCTTGAGAGATTTACTTAACCTCTGTAGTCTGTGGATCACAGCTTTTGTTGTCCCACCAAACTATTAACACCAGAGTTCATGTCCAGCTGGACGCCCCATTAGTATAGGCGCTGAAAGTGATGTGAGATGAAGGTTAATGTAACAACGCACAATGTTAAAGGTATAGAAAAGGGATTGAAATTGCATTTATTTCCACAGCCATGGCATGCCCCTCCCACCTCTCCAGTAAGGAAATTACTGGGTTGTTTGAGTAAGCAGAGGTGTAACATCAGGTTGGATTTTACATGTGATGATTTTAATTTTAATGCTCATTTGTTTTCTTGTCATAAAACAGCATCACTCTGAGAAAATCATTTCTTCCCCCACTGTAAATACATTTGTTTGTTTGACATATTAATACAGTTACGTCCCACGCTTTCTCCTTCACTTACCTTGGCATCTTGAGGAAGAGACCAAATGTCGCAGCCAAGTGGGTTAGCACTCCTGCTTCGTATTCTGGAGGTCCTGAGTTCAAATATCAGCCCTGGGATGAGCTATCCTTGCTGGGGTGTTTCATGGTTTTCCTCATTCCTGCCATGCAAATGCCAGGATTGTGCCTAAATTAGGCCATAGCCACTCCCTTTCAATTCATTATTCATTAGATCGTCATACCATGTGACACTACATAGTCTAGATACTGACAGCATTGTTAAATAAACCACTTATAAATAAAATAGGGGGGTGGGGTCCGGGAGGTGAGGAAGGGAAGTATGACGCAGCTTCCCTGAAGGTGGGGCAGACAAGGTACGTCCTTTCGTAGTTCACATATTTTCTATATGTGACACTGTAGTTGTGCTAGTGTTCCACTTTAAAGTACAGCTATGCCACAGACTGCATTATTCACTTAGTAGGAATTAATGTTTTTCAGGTTTTGGTTCAAGAATGGTTATCGACCATGTACTAACTGTCTCTAGTCCCAAGCAGATGGTGCAAGCATACTGAGATCTTACTACAGGTCTAATCATGCTACTTTGGTATTAACCTCAACCTGTGGCAGGTATCAGTCGTGAACTGTCTCCAGTCAAATACTGCACCTACCCCCTTCCAAAATAATGTCGATCCAGAAATTGTAATCCAAAATTATATCTTCATTAGCCTAAGTTGAAGGTGCAATAGTGTAGAAACATATTCCACATTTTTGCACTCTTCTTACACTGTGTCTGTTGAGTCGAGTAGTAGTATAAATTTAAGCCAATTGGAGTAAAGAATCAAAACATGTAATTTTAATTGCATTTTAAGACACTGATCAAGTGTGGCACACGCTTCAACAACACAGTGCCCTAAACTGTGGCAGAGTGATTGTCGGGTGTTTGAATCGGACATGAAGACCTCAAAGTGCCTGGCCAGTCAATACTCGTGCAGTGCAGCGTTGCCACTTGTTACTGCAGTATCTTCGTAGCTTCTCTGCTGTGCGCTGTCTTGATATTTACAAATATTGAACCTGTTCTGTATGGGCTTAGGAATCTAGTGTGACCCGTCATGGAACATTTCCTCTATTTTTCAAATGATTTGGTCAAACTGAAGATTCAGGTGTTCTGGTGGTGCTCATGTGTTAGTTGAGGTGTTGCATTTGACAATGTTTCTTACCATTGGTCTTTTGTTTGGTTTTATATTGTACAGAATGGTGCAGAAGTCAGGATGCAGTAGCCAGCTCTTGAAGGT